CAACCTTATCACGTACATGCTCACTTAGTATCCTATCTATCTCTAAGGTCAAGCCGCTCATCCACCCAAGCAAAAAAGAGTTCAAAATGTTATGGTGCCAAATGTTTGACATTAAAAGAGAAGCATAATACTAAGTTAAGTATTGCAGAGATGAGGATGCTTAGGTCTATCTCTACCTTTCTTAATATAAGTCAAATCTAATAAGTCCCCTTTCTTAACCGAGTCATCTGAAGGCTGTGACCAAACCATCTAAGGCGACACTATCTAATCGTTTTATGTGACCAAACCATCTAAGGTGACACTATCTAATCTCATCATCCATTGGAGGTACTCCAACATTTTCATGTATATGCTCATTCCGTATTCTATCTCTAGGGGTAAAGCCACTCATCCACCTAAGCACCCTCATCTCTGCAACACTTAACTTAGTATTATGCTTCTCTTTTATTGACCAAGATTTGGCACCATAAAGCATTGCAGATCTCACCACCATCTTATAGAATTTTCCCTAAAGTTTGAGGGGGACTTTTCTATCACACAACAAGCCCGATTCATTTCTCCATTTCAACCATCCAACTTGAATTGTGCTGATAATATCCCCTTTTATTTCACCATCACTCTAAACAAATGATCCAAGATATCTAAAACGTGTACTTTTATTAATTACTTGATCGCCCAAAGTCACAAACCGCTCACTAGGTCTATTGCTAATAAAATTACACCCCATATATTCAATTTTAGATCTACTTAAGCGAAAACCTTTAGAATGTATAGTTGACCTCCAGAATTCGAGTTTACCTTCAACTCCCTCTCTAGTCTTATCAACATGTAGAATATCATCAACAAAAAGCATACAACTAGGTACATCCTCTAGCAAAGGTCTACTTAGAAAATTCATGACTAAAGCAAAAACAATATTGGGTTCATTCCTCTCGCAAATGTCTAGTGAGAACATCCATGACTAAAGAAAAAATATATTGAATTAAGACTGATCCTTGATGTAATCTAACCCAAATAACAAAATTCAACAAGTAAAATATCATCAACAAAAAGCATACAACAAGGTACATCCTCTAGCAAATGTCTAGTGAGAACATCCATGACTAAAGCAAAAAGATATGGACTTAGACTTGTTCCTTGATGTAAACCAACTGTAATAATAAAAAACATAAAAATAAAATTAAAAACGCTCACCTCGGAGGCGGCGTTGTGCACGGGAGTTGGGAGAGAACTTCGGCCTTGCAGTGGGGAGTTCGTCGACGGCCAGAGGGACCTCGTCGGTGGCCGGAGACAGCTCGTCAGCGGCCTACATGATCTCGGTCGCACGAGAGGGCGGGCGGAGGAGAGGGGGCGAGCGAAGCCGAAGAGAGAGAGAGAGAGCACGAGATGAAATGAAATGGGAGGCTCGGGCTGGTTCATCTTAGGGCTTTTACCGGCGGTATGAACCGCCGGTAATAAAATTACTTAACACCGGCGGTTTTGGCTGCCGGTATAGCGCCGGTAAGTTTAAGGGCAAGCGGTATACCCTGCGATTTTGTGACCACCGCTATTTCCGGCGGCATAAACTTGCCAAACGGCCGGTTTGGCCGCCAGTATTAACCGGCGGCCTAACCGCCGGTATTTGAAGAATTTCCTGTAGTGCACCCAATATGAGGGCACGTGTTACATTCCCGCTGGCGGTAAATTATTTGAGAATGAATTGTAGTAATACATTCCACAAAACAACTGCTCTTTGTGAGCTGAAGTTATTCTTTAATTCACATTCTCGTCAAACCATTGCGAAGTGTGGATGGATTTTAGTTTTAAGTTTTTTGTGACATATTTTATTTTAAGGATTTAGGCTTTTAATATGGTTTGAGTTTAGATTTTGAATGAATGATTTTACAGTTTTAAGGGCTTTTTTAAAATTGAATAGCTCTTTCTGATTAAAATTTTCTATCAACGCTGCTATCATCGAAGTGTATGAGTTTTAGCCCATTCATAAAGCATTCTCAGTTTTCGCATTTAGGAGTTTGATATAAAGACAAAGCACCTACAGAACATAATTTAACATATAGATCAGAGCTATTGTAGGGGTGTTTGAACACTTTTAGCTACTTCGCAAAGCATTCTCAGATTTTGCATTTAGGAGCTTGACATAAAAATTGAAGCAAATGCAAAATCTTACTACTTCATATCTTATTTGTTAGTGATATCAACTATAGGTACAACCAATCAGGTTGATGTCATGTGCATCTCGCCATTGATTACCAAGAATATTGTCCTCTTGTATGATGAGTGCCACCTCTTATGTTCTACTCGTATCTTCCCAGGCTAGTAACCATAGTGATCTCATAACACTTGAGCACCAAGTTACTAAGAGTGTCAATATTTGACACGACCTGAAAACCTGACCCAAAAATTTTGGGTTAGGGTCAACCTGTTTGTCAAACATGTAAGGTTCGGGTTCACCAAACCGACCTGTTTCAAAACTCCAAAGTTCGAACACTAGCCTTATCTTCCTCACCTCCTACTCACTAGAACAAGCTGTCTGTTGCATCTATCGACATCCGAAGTCTCTGTCACTCATCTCCCGCGGCGTTTTCGAAGTCAATCCCAAGTTATGTTGTGAAGCCCTCACTGCCACTGGCGAAGATGGACGGTGCCGCCTCCTCAACCTTTCTGGCTTATCTTTCTCGCCTCCATTAGCAGCTCGTCGTTTGGTTAGATCGGAACTAAAAACAAAGACAGGTTGGTGGGTCATGTCAAGTTAACCCGGGTACGAAGCTGGTCGGGTTTGGGTCCGAGAAAATGACATGTTTTAAAAAATGGGTCAGGTTGGGGTCAGGTCAGTTTCAGGTTGGACCCAACTCGTGACCCGATTTTGACAGTACTACAAGGTACCATGTCTTCGTGTCTTCAAATCGAGCAGCTTCAGCACTACCCTGTGGCCTGTCAGTTTGGATTCTAGATAAGTGTAGCTTGTACTAATCTCCTACTAACTTGAATGGATCCACTTCTAGATATATACTAGCCTTATACAACCCCAACAAGTTTACTTCCCAGTCAGTAGGGATGCTCTTGAGAAGCGCCATTAGTCCCCATTGTGCAAGAAGTTTCCTAATGCCTTTACCATCGACCTTCGATGCCATTATCTATGAGTGATCATAGAAAGTATCTCCACTTTTCCATGCTAAATATCATCCTTGTAGGACGTCAAAGTATACTTCAAGTTTGTTACGAGCTTCAAAATGAGATCCATCATATCATGTCACCTTCATATATGTACAACAGATACTATGTTGTATATTTGACTGTTTAGCTAGCTAATACTTACCTTTCACATCATCATTCCGTCTACGATGATATACACGGATCGTGTTGCAAGCTTGAAGTAGGAAGGGAATTATACTATTTTTTATATTATTATTATTTATTCTTTTTTAAAATATTAAAATAGAAGTATAGTTAATCATTTTTATCCTTTATATCTCCTAGTAGCTTTGATTTTTATATGGAAATAACTGCAATATTATAATATAATCAAAATTTTATCATAATAATTAATAGAAGCATAGATAATAAAAAAGTCAATTTATTCCTCTATTAAAAAAATATTCCTAGCTCTACCACTGTTTGTAGATGGTGTTTTTTAACAAATGATTGGGCATTTACAAGTTCATAACAATTTGAACAATAAAATTTGATCACCAACTTTTCCCATGCTTCGTGATGATGTAAACCCAAAAGGTCGAATAGCTCTACTAGTTCAAAATTACTAGGAATAGGGCTAATCAGTATTCCACCATTATTTCGCCATCAAAACTTTCAACAACTGGTCATACATCTCTCAGTGATACTGTCCCTATTTAAAAAAAATGGACTCAACCAAATTTGGACAGGTTTGGTTGAATTTGATCTGCCATTTATTTCGACCCTAATACAGTTCCGGGTAATATCATAGTTCATGGCATGGTAATATACCAGGATGTGGTACTATAAGCACATCAATAACTGATATAGTAGCATCCTACAATAAGTTGAAAGAAATGATGCATCTTCCTAGATCAATGCTGAGCTTGTGCAGCAGCCTGAAATAAACTAAGACTTAGTTTGGGACGGCTTTCTTACTACTTCTTAAAGCTGCTTTCTAATACAAAAGTTTTAATTTTTGTACTAAAAAGTTGATTTAGGAAGCAGTAAGAAAGCCGTTCCAAACGAAGCCTAAATCTTATAAAAGTCTTCAATGGTGACCCATAAGACACTAGGTAGAAGCAAAAAGTTATTACATCATGAGAATCTCTCTCCTTTCTTCCTATAGTTGTGTCCGGAGATTCACAAAGTGAAAGTTTATTCTCCATATTTTACTCACAAAGTTTCTCTGATTGACCAAATAGGGGCAACAAAATGAGAGAACTTAGACGATGAACAAACTAAGGGTCTATTTGAGGTAGTTTTTCTATGCATTACTTTTTACACTATTATCATACTTCTGTTTGACTATAACCATCTTGTTGCTGAAAAGCATCTTTTTGCAACTAGATCTACTAGTGTCCTACAAATTAGAGCTGCTGTTAAACAGTAAAAAAATTATAATAATCACGAAAGCTTTAAAAAATCTTTTTTTATCACAAAAATTCAACAACTATTTCTACAAACTGCTGCAACTATTTAAATGGACCATGAATCAAAACAGCACACTTTACCTAATTCTATTCCCCATCAAAAAGAAGAAAACAATTTTCAAACCTTCGAAGTTATTGTTCTTACAACATGAATGCCTCACTTAAATCAAGAGAATAGAGGATCACAATGACCAGAAGACAACAATAAATGAGATACTGAACGTCTATATTATTGTCTATACATCCATGCCATCCTAACTGGGAGGTGAAGTCATTTTTATTTAGAATACAATTCGAAGAGAATATCCCGTTTCTCTTAACAGTACGAGTTGCTTGATGACATTTAAGTGATCTAGTAAATAATTTTGTAATGCTTGTTGTATAAGCTTATAGTACCTTCGCAGCTACTTCTCCCAGATTTGCAGAGATAGCAAAATGATTCTGAATTACACGAAATGAAGGATCCTTCAGCCCTCTTGCTATGGCCTGTGTACACAGCTTTGTCTTAGAAATCCAAAGAGCTGTTGAGGAAAAGTAAAATGTACATCTCATTTAGTTTGGTTGACATTTATGCCACACCAGACCAGAGCAGGGAAATATTTCAACCAACTGTACAACTTAAATGCATGATAATTGTATAGATCCTCAAACATCATGTTAGCCTGCTAGTTTTGTCAACATTGTAAGCAAATGTTGAAAAGGTAGAATGGAATGTAAAATAAATGAAGGGAACATAAAGTAACATTTGGTTATCCATTCGGTATACAAGACAAAACTATTGGTGTCCAAGATAATAATAATTGAAAAAATCTGGAATAAATCATACTATAATTGGTGGCATAAAAATATTGGCTAAATAAATACCATATATAGTAGGTATAATTTCGGATTCTATTTCTTAAATACCATTTGGCTATCCATTCATTATTATGCAACAACAACATCATCAAGCCTTTGTCCCACTATGTGGGGTTGGCTACATGAATCCTTTTTCATCATTATGTCCTGTTAAAAATCAAATTCTCATTTAAATCTAATAAAGAAAGATCCTTTCTAACATTTTCTAATCAAGTCTTTTTAGGTCTACCTCTATCTTTCTTAACAGTCAAATTTAATACATCAACTTCCCTAATTGGGTCATCAGAAGGCCTCCATTTAATGTGACCAAACCATCTAAGGTGACTCCATTCATTATTATACATGACAAAAAAATATTGGTGACCCAAAAAAAAAAACTAATTAGCTAAATCAGAAATAAATCATAGTATCCAAAACAAAAGCACGTTAATATTTGATTACCTTCATTAAGTTCCCTAATGAAGCAAGTGGAAGAAAATATGCAGGATATAGTTGCGTGGTAAGCTCAAAGACACTGCAAAAGGGGCCAATCAATCAAAAGTATCGTTAATTAAATGAGAACAATATTGGTCAAGGAAAAATATAAACCTCCCAGCACTTCCAATAATATCCGCATACATCCTCCATTGTCTTGGATCATCATCAAAAAGGTAACCATAGCGTCCACCTATGAGATAAATCATTACCATTGAGAGAAATAGTTGTGGTTTTACTTTTTAAAATCTAGTTCGTACCAATGAAAAGACGTCCAATCGCGCCTAAGCCATCTTTTGATACCCATCTGAAAAATAAATAATTGTAACTCAAACAAATGTGTTTGAGAATCATAAAGTGACAAAAACCAAAATCCAAACAGGCATGGCAAGATTTCAGAATTATGGCTAAACAATTGATCATGTAAACATTCTTCAATAATATGATCAACTATTTAAACATTCCTCAGTAATATACCAGATTACGATTAAAAGATAACATGAGTTTCATGACAATAACCTAAATAAGCCTTCGCACTCTGTCAACTTCCCAATTGCTTTTATATGGATTGCTATTTCCCGGAAATGAAGCTAATGCTAATGTTATCACAATGATCAAGCATGGTTTTTATTGGGGAAACTACCAATTATAGATAATGAAAAAGATATTAGACCAGGTAAACACTATACAGACAAAAGATGCACTATATTTGTGTTATAAGAAAAATGATCAAAATGATCCTCAATTATATTAAAGAACCATTTTGGTCCCTCATGTTTTTAAAAATAAATCAAAATAGTCCCATGAAGACTCAAAAGGACAATTTTGAGGGACCAAAATGGTCATTTAATATAGTTGGGGACCATTTTGATATTTCATAAAAACTCAAAGGGACAATTTTGATCATTTTCTCCTTGTGTTAATATTGGCCAAGGAAGATAGTTCTTATGCACTTGCAAGCAATTTGTGAAAAGGCGCACAAAAAAATGGAACCAACATTCAAAACAGTTTAGATTGGGATCTCTTTAGGTAAATCAGCAGGATGAATTTTGCATCTCAAAGAAATTTTAAATAAGGACAATAAAAAGAAAGAATTACCATAAAATAACTACAATGCAATAAAGAAAACATTAATTCGGGTAAATTTGATGTAAATACAACACTCTAAAAGAACTTAAGAAATATTATCAGAATAGTAACACAAGATACACTAAAAGATCCATTAAATGTGAAAACAAGGGCTAAAGCCTTTTTAGACTGAGGATCTATAATAGTGACCTAGATGCAAATGAAAAAAGAGTGGCTGTTGCCTGAAAACGGCAATTAGCGCAAAATAGACCTTAAAGTGGTGCATGATCTTCATTGAAATTCCTAATATCAAAATGTGCAACTAGAACTCTTGGATAGAGTCGTATTTTACTTGAGAACAAAGACATTTTAAAAATTGGAACTGTTTTTGGCTTGCACTGAGCTCAATGAGCTAGATTTGCTTGAATCAAACTTAAAGAGAGTTGAATATAGATTGAATTAAGCTTAGCTCAAGATCATATTGAAATTTAGATGCACCGATGGTGTATTTTGTTAGGCTACGAATTTATCTCAAAATGAAGTTGGTCGAAATCAAATTGACTTTTGGCTTGAATTGAGATCAAATCAAACATAACATGCCATTTTTAGCTTGAATTGAGATCAGATGGAGCTAGACATTGCTAGGCTTGAGATTGGAACAAATTACTTTGCACCGATTTGATCAAGATTCAGGTTGGCTTGAGATTGGACAGTTAATAATCCTGTTCAAATACATGCATAACATACAAAAAATTAACTTCTAAACCTACTTTGTCACAATAACTTTGTAGGAGTAAAGTGGAAATAAAATTCTATAAATCACAAAACTCATGAGTTGATGATGTGCAGAAGCAAACTAGAATCTCCATGCTAAGTCCTTAAAAATATGATTTAATTAGGTATATAAACTTAAACTCACATTACAATGCACCAGACATGATCAAAATTCAAGATTCATCTTCGAGGCTAGTTTTAATATCAGAAAAAGGTTCAATTCATTTCTACTAGTAATATCACGCACCTTATCTTCATCTTGAAGATAGAAAATTCATTAAAAAAATAAAAAAAACATGAACAAGCAAGATATTTAAGATAATGGAATTTTTACATACATAACACCTCAAACTATTTAAAATACATATTCAACACTTAACTTCAATATTTACTATATAGCACCTAAAATCCCTAGTTTTATCTAATCTATCACTCCGTTTAAGCACCCGTCAAAAAGCCCTAACCGCACGTTGGCTCCCCTTCAGTCGAGCGAGAGCGGGTCTTCTCCATCGCGTTTGAAGATTTTCACACGCCCCGTCTTCCCTTGGCTTTATCGGCGCGGTTTTTCCTTTCCTGATCTCCATTTCGTGAACGACGAAAGGTTTAGATGTTTTTTCCCCATTTGAATGTTTGAGTTGTTGTTTGCTCTTCGTCTTCTCCAACCAATCGTTCTTTGTTTTCTCCACGTCGGCATTGCAGAGGATGGGTTGCATTGTAAAATCCATTTGCACATTCAGCATATTGTTTTTGTTTTCACCATTTGAATGGATATTCTTCGTTATCCGTGGTCGGCAAGAAACTTGACAGCCACAAATTTTGATTACATTGTATAATCTGTTTGGCGTTAGGTTCTATTTAATGTCTAAAGTGTCTTCATTCTTTAAACTTTTACATATAATAATCTTGTTTAAAATTTTACATATAAACAATGAGTTCGAGCTCCTCAGCGGCGCCAATAAAAAACCCAAATAATCAAATATATTGTCATTGCAATTTGCAATGTACAATATATACGTCATAAAAGTCGCATAGCAATGGAAAAAAATTATACAGATGCTCCCAGAACCGATCATAAGACGATTGTAGTTTATTTTTCGTTGGAGTGATGAAGTCAATAATTCACCGCACGATATGAATTCATATACTACTGCTAAAGTTTTCGAAGCTAGCCAAACTGATGTTGTGTCAGTTAGAGGTGAACTTTTGCAGATAAAAATCTTGTTGGTGATCCTGGTAATCCTAAGTTTGAATGTAATTATAACTGTTAGATATATCCTCACGAGCTATAATTATAACTGTTGATTGTAACATTGACTATGTTTATGTAATTTGGTTTCAAGATGAGTTGAATGTTCACTGTGGTTAACATATGTTTCTTTGTTCCATGCTGTTTCAATATTAGATTGAATGTTCGGTAGAATATGTGTTGAATATGTCGTGGATTGAAAGTATCATATTGAAAGTATCGGATTGAAAGTATCCATCTGAATTTTAGGCAGGGGCTACAAGAAATACATATGGTTGAATTAACTTCTTGTTTTAGGCGATGAATACCCTAATAGAATTAGAATTCCCAAAAATCTGTAGGCATTCAAAAGACAAAACTGAACATAAATAGCTCTATTCCAACACAACATCAGATCTTCAGTTTGGACGGCGTATAGTCAATTTGGCATGAGCAGTCGATGAACTAGGATGTTGATCTTCATGTGTAATCTCAGTACCAATCTCTTCACCTTCCACATTTAATGGATTTTTACAAGTACTTCTATGATGGCCGCATAAATTATAGCGACTACACATGTGTCCAAGTTTTGTTTTCTTCCCTGTTTCTAAGAAATTCTTAATACGCCTTTTTTTTTGGGTCTACCACATGGTCGTAGTGAAAGTGGTGTTGTAACTACCTCACCATCACTAACTGCAGCCCACATCTCCTTCCCTGGTATGGTCGAAATTGCACCATCATATGCCATTTTGTATCTAATCATTTAGGAAAAAAAATTTAGAAAACCAACATATACGCATGGTAGTGATCATCAACATATGTATAACATAAAGAATGTTGTGTAGTGCCAATGAATGCAGTACTGTGTATACATGGTATATCGCTTAATTGCGAGAATCCACAAGTACAATCCATCTTTTCTAAGTCGACCGCGTGCCTTTCATGAAGACCCTCAACTTCAGTTGTACTCGATGTTGACTGGCGAATGATAAAATGCTCTTTCCTAGTTGTGATGTCCCTAATGTACTCTTCCACATGAGGAACTAGTTGACCTCTTCAAGAGGAGGAAATTATATTTCTTGACGAGCGCTGTTCAATAACCTTTGCCCTAATCATGTCGACCAAATCAACGACTGACTTACTTCTAGCTTTTTCAACCCATGCATTAAACGATTCCGACATGTTGTTTGTATTGTAGTAATTTTTAATGTGCTTTGAGAACGTCGCCTTAGACCACTTGCACGACAAAGAATTCAAGTAAGAGTACATTTGTTGACTGATTTTAAAGATCTCCTCAACTTTCATATGCAAAACATTTAGGTTATAAGTGTTTGTTGCCGTCCAAATCAAATTCTGAAGCTTGATGCCATCTTCGCAACGAAATATTTTTTTTATATTCTTCCACAGGTGTCTCATGCACACTCTATGCTCAGCATTTGAGAAAACAAGTTTTATAGCTTCACCAAGGCCTTTTTCCATGTCGAACATGAAAGCTAAATATTCAATTTCACAGCCAAAACTTTCGAACTAGTTCCTCATCAACCACTTCCAAGATTTCTTAGATTCTGATTTATGCAACAGCATACGCTATTGTGAACAAACCATTATTTCCATCCAAACAATTGGTGGATAGCAATACGCCAAGATACTTTGATTTGAGGTGGCAAGCATCAACCCCAATTAAAAATCTACATCCAGCAATGAAACCGTAAATATATACTTTGAAGCTAACAAAGAATCGCTTAAATGAATTCCTTTTACTTTCACACATGTATGTAATGTGAGAACCAGGATTCCTGTTGATTAACTCTGACCTCAGCATAGGCACCCATATATAGTTATCGTCAACATAGCCAAACATTACATCTCTTGCTAACTCTCTTGATCTCCAAATATTCATATATAACAATGATAATTCGTAAGTTGTCTCCAAGTTATTGCTAATATCTTTTGGTGTGATATCAGGATTTTTCTTTACAATGTCCTTGATTTTATGAGCTACCCAACTAATAGTAGCTTGCTTGTTTCCTGCTTTATTGACCCCAGGGCATAAATGAGTTGATTCTATTTTCCTAACTTTGAATGAGTAACCATCAGGAGATAATGATGCATGTACTCTCCATGGACAATCTCTATATGCGCAAGTAACTATGACTCTGGTTTTGTCACTAGCCTTTATCTTTATAGCATAATTCTTTAAAATTGCATTAGACCTAACTGCTTGCTTCAAACTCTAAGCATTTTCAAACCGTGAACAAACACATAGACTGTTTGCCTCATTAGTTTAGGGTATAAAGAAATCATCGCACAGATCATCTACAACAATATCATTATATCCCTAATCTTTGAGCTAAACTGACGCATTTCAGTTTGATTGTTTTGTGAGATATCTTCTTTGTGATATTTCATTGCAACCGTCACCTCAATTCTATTCATTTCATAAGAACCGCTAAGCATGTCAACTACATTTGCATTGCTTGAAACCAACATGTAATTCTTAGGTGATGTCCCATTAACATGATAGTGTAAGTCAAATGGTTGACCCCGTAGCCGATGACAAAATGCTTCAACTCGTTCTTTTAGCAACATTAAATTGATTTCATCTCTTTAAAGCTTTAAGGTTTTCTGACTTCCATCCACATACTGATGTGAATCAAACAGGAGTTGCTTGCGAAAATTAAGATGAAAGTAATTAAAGCATTGCCAACACATATTTATCACCAATAAAATAAAGGATTAAATGTATTCTAGGTAATCAACTTGCTTAGGCGAAGAGTTGCTTTGAGATAACCAAACAATTCATAAATTTTCAAAGATAAAAGAACTGCTTAAATGCTCATAACAAAATCCCACGATTAACAGTGAGAAAATTCACCTCGAGCACCTTCTCACTCAACCACTCTTTGGCTTTTAGCGGAGAAGAAGAAACCATGCGAAGATGGAGAGCACCACTACGGAAAAGGAGACGAAAGACTTTGTTACCGGAGAGGTAGCCGCCAGTGGAGGAGGTGGTGGATGGCGCCTGGTGATTGTCAAATCGTAGTCTTGAAATTGGCGGTCGATGATGCGCACAAGTGATGGGAGGATTCGCTCCAAGCATTCACCAACTGTGTTTTCGTGCGTAAACCCCGCGTCGAAGAACGGGGATCGTAGGATGTTGAGACTACCGTCGGCGTTGAACACAAGCCCCTACTCGAATTCGGGATCCGCCATTCAACATTGAAGTGGGGAGGGGAAGAAGAAAAGAAAGAAGGAGGAGTTGGGCCGTGAACTAGGGAGAGGGATTTGGATGGAGATCCTTCTTGGAGAAAATCTAAATTTGAATTTCAGAATTTCTTGGATTGGAGAAAGAGATTATTTGTTATTAAAATCTCCCTAAATTAGGCTAGAGAGAGGGGCGGCTATTAGGGGGGAAATTAAGAGGTTAATAAGTGGATGCTTAGGTGGCAAGTGGAGAGAGAATAGGCTAGATGAGGGGCCGGCCAAGCAAGAAAAAAAAAGAGAGGGAATTTGATTAATTAGTGGGGCCCATGGGGCTAATTAAAACCTGATTTCAATTTTCAGATTTTAATCAATTAGGGAGATTTGAAATTTGAATTCAAAACAGATAGGATTTCATTTAAATCTATTCCTAAATGTAGGGTGTTATTTTAGGAAAGAAGTAATGAAGGAATTAAATCATGAAATTCAAATTTCAAGAGGAAGGGGGCGACGGGATTTTACGAGGGAAGAGGAGGGCTGGGCTAAGGGAGGCGGTGGGCTGGAGGAGATGGGGGTTGAGTCGGCGGGATCTGGGTGGGGGTGGGAAATTTTTGAAGCGGCTACAGAGGGAAGGGAGAAACGGGCAAAGGGCAAGGGGAAGGGGGACGGGTGTATGGGGAAGGTGGTGGGGAAAGAAGAAAACAACAAAAACACAAGTAAAATCAAGAGCTCACCGAGGTGGGCTGTTGGGTATTTCGGGTGGAGCCTCTCCTAGGTCTCCTCTCTTTCTCTCAAGCTCTTAAGCAAGAAGACAAAGGAAAATCTCATAAATTTTATTAATCCAACATTAAGCTCATATAATAGGATGAGACCTCTTTATAAAGGCCTCAATGACAGAAAATAACATGAAAATAACATGACTCAAATGCCCACCGGGCTACAACAAAGACTAAACCTTCATATAGGGAAAATAGTAAACTACGGCTTGAAATAAAAGATACATAGAAAAATAACATAAAATGACATGGCAACATCAGAAATATAAGCTCCCAATCGTAGCCGTCGATCTACGATTCCTTCGCCAGTAGACCTGCCTAAAATGTCTGTCGATGACCTCATCACATACTTTGTTCAACTCTAACCATGCACTTCACTCCAATATCCACCAAATTTGAGTGAAGTAAAAATTACTCTAATCCATTTTTGTTTATGTGAATAATTATGGATTTAGCAATAGTGAAAAAGTGCATAATTGCCAACATTCTCCGAGATTTTTTTTTATCTCTGAATTATGCATTCCTAAAAGTTAAACTTATCTTTTAGATAAAAAATTTTACAATGTACGAACTATATTTGTTAGTCAAGTTATATGCTTTGACAAAAAATTTAAGGAAGCTGAGTGATGTGGAGCAAAACATAAAAAAGTTTAAGAAAGTGAAGGGTCAACCACAGATGCCTGGGAAGTATATCATCGAAGTGAAATAGATTGGAAGGTAATGGTGACAATGAAATGTTGTGGTGGCGTGGATTAGCTGTAGGTCTTACTATTTTTCCTTTCCTAAGGGAGGAACAAATAATCGCAATGCTGCAAAGAACTTTGAGATGACATTGTGGAAGAAAGATTAGGTTTTCAAAATTTTTTGACTTGATTGGAAAATCTAAACATGATGAATATCAAATATTTGAACCTAGTTGTGACGAACAGAAGTTTTCTAAATCTATATGAAAGAAGAGTCCATTCTCATAGTATTGGTGGAAGAAAAAGAATGCTTCTGAAGCACAGTTTCTAGCTTATAATTTTGTTCTACTGTATTAGTTCTTATGTGAGAAGGAGAGTGCAAAGGGAGAGCCACAACGACTACCTGATCTAGCAAAGAATAGGCGACGGTTCGTCGCAGAACCTTTCACGCAGGAAAAATCAGCGGCTCGGAGAAGTGGCGTTTCGTGTTTTGACGGAACGTTACGGAATTTCATTTCAAATACTTGGAATGTTGTTTAGGTGGTATATAAGTAAATATGAAAGTTTGAGTGTTTAATATATATTTTTAATAGTTTGAGGTTTTATATATGTAAAAATCCCTAAGATAATATACTTAAAATGAAATTGCAAGAGAGTCCCTATGGCATGCCTATTGTCACTCAAACAAAATTTAAACAAACGAGGTCTCACAAATAATCATAAGCAAGTTTCTCTTATATGGAGGGCGTCATGTAAGAACATGTAATCCATTTGTTTTGCCTTATGTTGCTCTTGCCATCTCAAGTCACTTTAATCTCATCTCACTTAGAGAATATGTATATATGTATAGAATCTATGGCATGCATGGAAAACAATACTTTGAACAACAATAAGACCTTCGAGTTTTCGGTTTCATTTGAGATAGTTTTCTTACTGCTTTTTAAAACAGTTTTGTAGTACAAATTTTTTTTTGAAAGTAGTAAAAAATCAATGGTCAAAAGCTATCCCAACTGAAACTTTAATTTATATTTCTTTATAATCTACTTGAAATAAATAACATATAAATATGTAAATATATGTGTGGTAAAAATGCCTATTAAGTTGAGGAAAGTTCAAATGCTCGTGATAAGGATAAAGAAACGGACAGAAAATGTAGATGAGATTACTGGATGGCAGCAGTAGAAGCAGCAACACCGGTTTGTGAAAAGGAGCCAACACCTACAGCCTGGGGACACATTATATGCAGCATATTGATGTTCACGCCAACAAAGAAATCCATAAAGTGATCATAAAAGTTTTTCATGACAAAAAAACTTACATCACACTGTAATATATGTTAAAACCCTCTTTTAGCAAATATTCCATGCAGATACGTTACATCTTTTCTTGAAATCAAAGAAATTCATAACTACTTACCTTAAGAAGACTAGAAGTAACTAATGTATGGCAAATCCATCCTGTTACATTTGTCGGAAATTGCAAAAGCATGTAATCCAAGTAATCATCTGATACAGAAGCTGCAATTTTTTTTAAAAATAACAATAAATAACAACGTCATGAAGAAAGGAATAACTATATACAGTCACGGATGATATTTAGATTATGAAATATACTAACTTCAGCTAAAATCATTAGAATGTCATACTTTGTTTATCAATACTATTCAAAGTTGCCAAAATGAGGTAATCTATATGTGGTAGTGTTTTATTTATGAACAATGTGATGAATCCAAATAAAGGCCATTTTTTAGGAGCGTATTTTGAAATTAATTAAGTTAAAATAGCCTAATCAGCAATTATTCAGGAAAAGGAGATATATATTTATTAATTAAAGAAGATATATATCATATTTAAAATTTTAAAAATATGTATTATAATTTTTAATAATTCAAGTTTCAAAAAAAATATAATTATAAATATAAAATAAATAACTTAAACATTATCATGTTTAAATTTAACATTTATTAATGTTTGCTTAAATTTCTAAAAATAATATTTAATTAAAGATATAAAAATATAAATAATTGATTAATCTAGAACTTGTTAACTTTAATTTTTATTTTGTATACAATGTCAAATAAAGTGAATTTAATTGATATGACAAATCATTAGTAATTGCAGACCCACTTTTACATACTTAGGCAGCCTTTGTTGATGTCATGTTTGACAGACCTAAAAGAAGAATTCAATGCAGTTGGTGATTGTGGATATCTAAACTTCTCAGGACAAATTAGTTTGTATGTGACAAATCATTAATGCATTAGGTTCTTCTTTAAGAATATGTCATTATTGTGCTTAAATTTGAACTAACATTAGGTCTATTTATGTGCAATTACTATGAAATATATACTCACCACAGTTACCTCTCGCTCTTCTTAGTTCTATTTTGTTACAATTTGTCTTAGTTTTATCATATCTACTAGCCATAAGGAGTCATATTTTTAAGAAAGTTAGTGAAGGGTACCCATTTTTGGCAAAGACAATGCTGACCTCTAAGTAGTACCCAAAAGAAATTTATATAAAACACACCAGCCAAATCCTGCTCGTATCACATCCTATTACTAGCTGTAGTCGCCCATACCACTGCATTTGGCGCCGTTGCAGTCATCTCACGCGTGCCTCGATCGCTACTATTCAATGTCATTAAAATGAGAGGGTAGACGAGGCCCTCATTTCTTCTTTCCACACCCAAACTTGCACGAACTTCCTCTTGCGATCCTTTTCCTCCCGCAGCTTTCACGACTTCACCCCTCTGACCTCCCAAACCCTCGCCAACCAGGTCGCATCCGGCCGTGCCTTCCTGTGCCGAAGTCGGATGCCACACCCGACATCTTCCTCCTCTGCCCTAGCCGCAAAGCTCACGACCCAAAATCCAGACTCTTGTAGTTTCCCGTAAACGGGAGAGACACCGGGAGGCTGTCGAAATTCCATCTAAAGACGCTTAGAACTTGAACAAAAATAGAGGACCTGAACATAATTTGAACAATTAAGAATAACCTAAATTTAAATCAAATGATGAGGACCTGGACTTGAACCATATGACGATGATCTGAATTTGAACTTGAATTTCAGCACAAACTATATGGAAATTAATCTAAACTAAAATACAAGGAACCAAACTTTAAGTTAATAAAAATACAATCAAGATTCAAAATACAATTGCTAAGTGATAAATCCGGGTCATCCAAATAAACATCAATCAATAAAACAGGGGACTTGCGCTAAAGTTTCAAATGAGCATTTATAAGCAATTAATGATTGATGTTAAATAAAATTCCAGCATTTCACCGGCAAGCAAGCAAATAGTACGAGCGTATGGCATTGATTGCAAGAGAATATATTGAAACCTGCAAGCAATGGAAATCAAAAATAATGTGTAGCTTGATTGCAAGCGAATATATAAAACCCTTGGCAAAGCATTTCACCTACAAATAATGACCGGTGATATATGACATTTACATCAGTCATACAAGCTACAAGCGAACTTCAAGAGAATGTGGCGAAATGCTCATAAGCAATGATATGAAAGCTTCAACAGATGTCGCAGTTCATTTTCAATGGTCATATCTGTCAGAATACAAATGCCAATAAATAATAATGGTAATTCGACCATGCAAACAACCTTACGAATGCACTCAAAGAGACATGCAGAGAATGCCATGACATCCCTACAGTCATATTAGCTAGCTTACAATCAACAGTGGTTAGCTGATAGAATAAAGGCATTGATTCGGTAACGAAGGAATGACAACATACAAGTTATGAACAGTGTAGTCTACCTACACTCAATGACAATCAATTGATAATTGTACATGCTGGTCTACTTACAAGCAATGATGATAGACATGCAATGATTGTTAATGTGTCCTACAATTGACATCAAAATACAAGCAATAATATTCAACCTTACAAGCAATAAAATAAGGGGAAATTTGATTGCAAACAAATGTGCAAAGCATCTAAATAATACTACGAATTGCAAGCAAAGACAAAAATCTACAATGTGTTGGATATTTGCAGACCAATGTAGAAGACTTGTCATGCACACGATAATCTACTTACAAGTGACGACGAACAAAATGCAGGACTATGACAAGTACAGGCTCCTACGAATCACTATAGAAGATCTCATACACATCAAAAGCAAAATACATAAGAAACGTGATAAGTATGAACACATACGAGCGGTGCTAGAAGATTTGCATTAAATGCATCTCGCCCGTGGATAACAAAAGACTTGTAATGGATAAAGCGATTGTGCTTACAAGTCATAGTACTGGGTATGTTGCAAGTAAGATGAATCCTCCTAAAAATATGAATGGGGAAATTAACGTTGATGCAACTCAATCCTATTGCCAAGTACCAATATACAAATAAATACATTCACTCGACTACAAGTGGCAGTTGCTACGAGAATTAAAAAGGACATAAGAAAACACACCATACATCTACAAGTCATGGTGATTAGCATGCAATGATTGTATAAATGTTCTCATAGTCGTATGTGGGGAAAGATAAATAACAGATGTGAGCTCCTGCGAATCATTGTAGGGAAACCTCTAGCGTATGCAAAGTACTACGAGCTATTGTAGCAAGGATACCGAAGCATCTTTATAACCAAAACAACTATCCAATAGAAGGCAAATGCACAAAAACTTGCAGGCCGCGATAGTAGATATGCTGCAATATTACAACAAATACAAGACCCTACAGGTCGTTGTATAAGGCAAGTTATACACTCAATAAACTATGTGAGTGGTACAAGAGAATTGAGGAAAATGCAATTACCTACGAATAATAACAGGAGATTAGTTAGTGCATAATGATCTACTTGCAGAAAGCGACTAGTAGTGCACGACAGTCTACCTGTATGAAACGGACAAATGACCATAATGCGACGCTACGCCACCGGATCTGCAACACTCATACAAGCGGACTTAAGGCATACATAAGCTCTCAAGTAGAATGTTGCGCACACTCAGACGATAGTTGCCCGCACAACTGAAATATTCAAAAAAATGCCTTCACAAATGTACTACAATATGTATAAACATAAACACAAAAAATGCATATACAATCATACACCCACATGAGCCCCGACGAGCGTGTTATGAGCACACACGTGACGTCTAGGGATGTTGCGCGGGTCAGACAATAAACCCAAGTTCGAGCTCGATCCTTCTATGCAGGTAGATACGACTCGACACAGCTCGAACCATCAAACAAATATACGGTCGCGGTATTGACTGTGATATTTGTTTTATACGTTCATGTTAGGCCTTCAAGGTCTATAAAAAGGGAAATTCATTAATAAAAGCATACAACTGACTTGAACATCAATCCTCTGTCAGTAACTAACAGAGTTGACACTACATATAGAGGCGATGAGAATACAATGACTTAGCAGGAGCCTTTCTAATTGGATGTGATTGGAAACATGTATAAGAAAGATTTACAGAGTTAGTTCGGTATGTTGTTGGATTAAATTTTCAACAAAGAAGATACCACAGGACAGATAAACCGAAGCAACCCATGGGAGGAAAACCAGCATAAACTCGCAGCAGTCCAAGAGGCAACAGGAAGAGGAAAAGGCAAGTGAAATTACAGAGAAATGAGAATAATAAAGGGAGGGAAGGAGAAAAGCTAAGTTTAAAAATTAATGAGCTAATTTTTTAGTTCCATAAATGAACTAAAAAATCAGCTCATAATGAGCTTCACCACTACTTGACATTAATGAGCTAGAGAAGTCAAAAAACAAATATTAGGATTTGATTTGACCCCCCCTGCCTACATCAGACTCCCCTTCTTGAGGACTCAGCTCCCGATGAGTCAGTTCTTGGTTTCTTTCGAGGAGGTGCATACTGATCATCTAGCTCTTTGATCTTAGCTTCATATTTCTTCAGGATCTCTTCTCGTTTTTGTAGAAACTGATCTTGTAAATGTTGCTTCTTCTTCATGTATCTTTTTGTACACAAATGCATCCATGATTAAAGTTTGTACAGTTCATACTGTAGTGGATCTGTTGATTCTGACGGAATCCATCTGTCCATCGAAAGAGGATCTTCAAGTTTTTCTGGATTGCTTTCTTCCATTGGATTACTATTTTTGTCCTTTTCCATTTTTTTAGACGACTCAAAAAAAAAAGACTTAAAGAAAGACTCAACCTAAAAAACTTAGACTCACAAAAAGGACTCACGACAAGACTTACACGACAAGACTTGACTTGACAAACTAAATTTGACAACCAAATCCTAGGACTTCCAAACTTGCTCTGATACCAAAATTGATGCAATCAAAAATTTGGGAAGGGACCCAAATTTTTTATAATAAAAACAAGACCTTTCTAAGAAATAGAAAACGACAAGAACTCATAGAAACTAGACAAATTAAAACAAACACAAACTTTTTATATCATATAAAAGGACTTACAAACTTTTGACATAACATTAAAGATGCTTACAAGACACTTAGAAACACAAACACCCTACAAACGACTCAAACAAGACACCCTATAGTTA